TTCATAAATTTTGCAATTAAAATCGTTTTTCAATACACAGGTACATCGGCACCAGGTTTGACAAGATAAACGAACATTTGGAATGTCTGTTGGTGAAAGAGGAAAATGAATTAAAATGTTCACAAAGAAAAGCCATATCGATCACGCGTCGATATAACATATGTACTCACAATTACAAGCGCGTGGTGTGGACTTCAATGTAAGTAAATCGGAACACGAATATGCTTGGGTACATCATGAATTTGGGTCTGATCTAATATTAAAAGTAGTACATTCGGAATTTGACAGCAATTCAATTTATTCAAAAATTATTTCTTTTTCTGTTCATATATTTTTTACTGCAATGTGTAACTCATTAACAAACATTATATTTTAATAGGCATCTTCATTTGGAATTGTATCAAATCGTTCGCCAATTAAACGTAATGTTTGGAATACAAATTACTATGGAATTAGGAGCCTATATGATATTAATAATAAGACTATCTAACTACATTTACTTACATATAAAAACAAAAGGTCGTTTCATAGTTACATCACTCGATTGGTTGTACCTTTCTTACTGGATATTCTTACATGTGGCTAAGATCTTTTTCTTTAATTATATCTGCGAAACTGTTAGTGCTAAGGTAAATTTTCTATAATACATATTCTATACACAAACAAAGTTTAGAAAATTTTTGAACAGGCCAATATATACATGTATATGTATATTTATTAATAGTAAATAATTAATTTTAGTCTAATAAAATAAAAGGAGTACTTCATCAATTGACAGACCTTCACCAATATACTGATATTCGTGACGAGGTAAAACAAATTTTTTAGTAAAATGAAGTAACTCGAGTACATAGTTTAAATTTTGATAACAACATTTTGTATTATTGTATATTATATATTATGATATGTATGTATTAATTTATATATTTATGTATATTATATAGATACATCAGTTTACATTACAAATGATATATCATCCGTTGAAGTTAACAGGACTGGGTCTTTTCTATTTTGGCAATAGTTTTCTACGAAAAGTAAGTTCCTATTTACTTTTTTATATTTCATATGTTTTTACATTAAATTATATAATTAATACGCCACCTTTTCTTATCAAATTTATATCATATCTTTATTGTTATATGCTAACATATTACAAAAACAAAAATTATTATACAAAATGCTAATCTAAAATATCTGTTATCTCTTATTAAAATCTACGGTCCTTACGAAAATTTAATTTGCATATTATCTTTCAGTTTGTCATTACAATTGCAACATTTATTATCATTATAATGCAGATGTCTCCTATACCATTCATTGCACAAGGTGCAATATGGTGAACAATTAAATAAGAATCGTCGTCTTTAAAATATATTTTGTTGTGATTAATAAATATCCCTACGTTATTATGTAATAAAAATTTTTATATGTTACAAATTTCTCTTTTTTTCTAGCTCTCTCTCTCTCTCTCTTTTCCTTTCAAATTATATCATTCCTTTGAATCGTATCCTTATATTTTTATGTCAACTTAATGTTTTGTGTGTGTGTGTGTGTGTGTATGTGTACGCGCGCACGCGTGTGTATGGGACTTAAAAGAACGGGATTTATCATTTATGTCATATTCAATATTTTATTGTATTAAGGTTATTTAATAATCTTAATATAGCGAATTTTTTACATAAATATTATTTAATATAATATTATTATATACACATACACAATAGCAGTATACATAATAAGTAAAAAGACAATACATGAAAAATACAGTATTATAAAATTAATATTAAATATATGTTTACTTCGCATGGAGGAACGCATAAGAAATTAATCACCGTCAATGTTTCAATAATTTTGTAGCACACATTAAGTGATGAGTCATCTTTTTAATTCATTAAAGCGGATCGAACTTCTTTATCGAACATATTTGCGTAAGTGCTTCAATGAGCATATATCGCGATTATCATAAAAACAGTATTATTACGTAATAATATAATTGCCAATAAATGATATGACAAATTTAACAATAATGAGTTTAACACTCAGTGTTAATTCGCGGTTGTGACGATCATGACTACTACGGTCCAACAAGC